GCAATACGTTTTTTTCATTTATCTCTTTATTAAAAAAGGTATCAGGAAACTCACAAACAAGGTGTCCAACAGACACCAGCTTCAATCGCAAAAAAAGGTTGAGATACAGTAAACGCTCACCGCAGATCTCTCCCATACAGCACAAACCAGCAAGGCTCTCTAACATCCACATCAAATAGGCTACGCCCGACCGGTTTCGTCACACCGACGTCATCAAGGGGCGGTACAGATGGGAACGTCAGACAGCTCTTATAAATACCACCCTTCATCTACATAGTTTTAACACCCAGCCAATCACTGCGTTCCTAGTCTCCTTAATCACGCCGGCTAGAACAGGTGTTTTCCCAATTTAATTATACATATACTCTATTATTGAATCAGCACAATACCGTTCTCCTTCAAAATCACCCACAAAAAAATATAAATATAAAAACATAAATATATGCAGAAAAGCAATATATACCATCCTGTGGCATGGCTCTTCAAACACAGAAAAACCCTTAAAGGGCCATGCACAGAACTTAAAACACAACTCTTCTCATACACAAAAAAATTTAAAAAATAAAAAAAAAAATTTAAAAATATAAACCAAAATAAAAATAAACTATATATAACAATCACTACATGTAAGCAATATTTTAAAAATATTTATCTTAAAAATTAGTCAAAAAACAATTTAAATCAATATCTATGTTTAAAACCTCTTGGTACTAAAGACTCCAATTCATATATCCAAAAAGTCTCCTTTTTTGATATTTCTTTAATCAGATCTGAACCCCTCCAATGACTTTTTACTCTCTCAATTCCATAAAAGTCGCTAAACTCGGATCACTATTGTGTCTTAATTTAAAATGTCTTGAAACACTATGTTGTCAAACCCTCTCTTTATATTGTTTCAAATGTTCATTTATCCTAGTCTTCAACTGTCTCCCTGTTCTTCCAACGTACTGAAAATGACACGGGCATTCCAAAAAATGTGGGTGATTTTGAAGGAGAACGGTATTGTGCTGATTCAAACCTGCAGGTATATATATTTAGCTTTTTTGTTTATAATAATAGAGTATATGTATAATTAAATTGGGAAACACCTGTTCTAGCCGGCGTGATTAAGGAGACTAGGAACGCAGTGATTGGCTGGGTGTTTAAAACTATGTAGATGAAGGGTGGTATTTATAAGAGCTGTCTGACGTTTCCCATCTGTACCGCCCCTTGATGACGTCGGTGTGACGAAACCGTCGGGCGTAGCCTATTTGATGTGGACGTTAGAGAGCCTTGCTGGTTTGTGCTGTAAGGGAGAGATTCATCTGCGGTGAGCGTTTACTGTATCTCAACCTTTTTTTGCGATTGAAGCTGGTGTCTGTTGGACACCTTGTTTGTGAGTTTCCTGATACCATTTTTAATAAAGAGATAAAAGAAAAAAACGTATTTGCACCATTATGTTCTCTTTTTTGTCCCTGAGTGTACTGCATGCTCTCATGGAGGTATGAGAAAGAGTGGAGAAGTTCATCATAAGAGCTTTGGCTGCAAAGTTGTTTGGCTGTGATTATTATCTGGAAGTATCTGAAACATCACCATATCTATTTGGACATCGGGGTCATTGCTCCCAGAGCACAAGCGCTGTTGCTGGTTTATAATCTGACCAGCCATTAGCTCTGTGAGTTTATTTAATCTCCTTTGGTGGTGGATTTCTCACAATTGGTTCAAGTCACTGAAGATATATATATATATTTTTTTGGACACTTATATATATATTTTTTTGGACACTAATTTATGTTTGGACACTATAATTTATTTAAAACACTAATGTTTTTTTGGATGATGACATACACTTTTTGTATAAGTTTGTTATTAGCGCATACCTTTTAATTTGGATTGTTTTGAACATCTAATGTTTGTGTAGTATTATGTTCAGCAGACTGCTTTTCTATTGTTGTGACTTAGATGACGTTCAGAGCACATTTTATGCCCAATTCATGCAAAACTCCACGTAATCCCAAGGGGTTCACATACTTTTTTTTTGCAACTGTACTTCCCTATCTATTCACTAATGCTAGCAGCATAAGGATTAAAAAATAGTCCATGTTGATTGAGAGAGTTCTGCTTTTGAATACAATTTTTCTGGTTACAACGTTCATGTTTTTCTTCTTTTACACTTTGCACATCATATAGATCAGTGGTCATGAACTCTGTGAATATATAGGAAGCCCCCAAGTGCACTCCTAAAATGTCCAGAGGCTCACAAAATGGTTTAGTTTTCATGAATTTGTGTTCCATTACCAGAAAATGTATTATGTCTTACCTTGCATACTTGCAATGCATTGAAACATGTGCACTGCTAAGCATGTGTTAGGGTGCCATACAGCAAAGGGAGGGGTTTTTTAATGCATCTTAGAGGACATCGTTGAAAATGTGCAAATCCATTAAAAGTTATCGTTGGAGGATACCTTAAAACTATACATAGCCCTGTGCTATATAAATCCTGTGTAATAATAATATACATGGTGTTACAGAACAGTTATGTTTTTCACAGATGGCCCTGGAGACAGCGTGCACTGGCAACACACAGTGGGCTGTCAGGAAACTAGTGCAGCTCATGCCAATTCTGGCTAATACCCAGCATGCACTGACACGTAGGCAAATTTCTATGCGCACGTCTTCCCGCATTGGCAACAAGCTGCCTATTTAATAGGGACTCTGCTGTGTACTAATCGCTGGATATTCTGCAGCTTCCTGTGTCCCATGTCCCTGAGTTCCTGTTTGTACTGACTGATCTTCCATTGCTGACCCGGCTTGCTCCTGACCATGCTCTGTGGATTCCGGATTCTGACCTCCGCTTGCCTCTGACTATTCTCTGCCTGATCTCCTGCTGCTGACCTCGGCTTGCTCTGACTACTCTGCCTGATCTCCTGCTGCTGACCTCGGGCTGGCCTCTGACTATTCTCTGCCTGATCTCCTGCTGCTGACCTCAGCTTGCCTCTGACTATTCTCTGCCTGATCTCTGGTGCTGACCTCGGCTGGCCTCTGACTATTCTCTGCCTGATCTCCTGCTGCTGACCTCGGCTGGCCTCTGACTATTCTCTGCCTGATCTCCTGGTGCTGACATGGGCTTGCCTCTGACTACTCTCTGCCTGATCCCCTGGTGCTGACCTCGGCTTGCCTTCTGACTACTCTCTGCCTTATCTCCTGGTGCTGACCACGGCTTGCCTCTGACTACTCTCTGCCTGATCTCCTGGTGCTGACCTCAGCTTGCCTCTGACTACTCTCTGCCTTATCTCCTGGTGCTGACCACGGCTTGCCTCCGACTACTCTCTGCCTGATCTCCTGGTGCTGACCTCGGCTTGCCTCTGACCACTCTCTGCCTGATCTCCTGGTGCTGACCTCGGCTTGCCTCTGACAATTCTCTGCCTGATCTCCTGCTGCTGACCTCGGCTTGTCTCTGACTATTCTCTGCCTGATCTCCTGCTGCTGACCTCGGCTTGCCTCTGACTATTCTCTGCCTGATCTCCTGCTGCTGACCTCGGCTTGCCTCTGACTATTCTCTGCCTGATCTCCTGCTGCTGACCTCGGCTTGCCTCTGCCTATTCTCTACCTGATCTCCTGCTGCTTACCACGACTTGCCTCTGACTATTCTCTGCCTGATCTCGTGGTGCTGACTTTGGCTTACCTCTGACTACTCTTTGGCTGTTCTTCTGGTGCTGACCACGACTTGCCTCTGACTTGTTCTCTGCCTGATCTCCTGGTGCTGACCTCGGCTTACCTCTGACTACTCTCTGCCTGATCTGGTGCTGACCTCACCTTGCATCTGACTATTCTCTGCCTGATCTCCTGGTGCTGACCTCGGCTTTCCTCTGACTATTCTCCACTTCATCTCTTAGTGCTGACCTCGGCTTGCCTCTGACTGTTCTCTGCCTGATCTCCTGGTGCTGACCTCAGCTTGCATCTAGCTATTCTCTGCCTGATCTCCTGTTGCTGACATTGGCTTGCCTCTGACTACTCTCTGCCTGATCTCCAGGTGCTGACCTCAGTTTGCCTCTGACTATTCTCTGCCTGATCTCCTGGTGCTGACCTCTGCTTGCTACTGGACCTCGCTCTCCTTGCTAACCTGGTACTGACCCTGACCTGCCTCCTGACCATGCTGCTGTCTCACTGTGTATGACCCTGGCTCACCTGGACTACATCCCTGACTGTGGCAATCACCTGCTGTTAGGGATCCGGGTATGACCAGAAATGTGTGGACTGACACAGGGAAACAAAGGTTCCAGGTATAGTGTGAATAAGGCAATTTATTAAGACTAAACAAAACATAAACGCAGTGCAAGACTAAACAACAACACAGTGCAAACAAACCAACCCAAACCTCCAACAGATAACAATAGAAACAATACTAAGCGTAGTCGGGGGGCGGGGCCGGGTCGGTAGCAAACGGGCAGGCAGGGCACAAGGAGCAGGCGGAAGAGTAGTCAGGAATAGCCGAGGTCAGGACAGGCGGAGTTCATTCAGAGTTAGGGATCGAAGCAGAATCTGGATCAGGCAGAAAGTAGACAGGATGCAGGTACAGGGGCTCATGGGAAACATACACCAAGGCCTGATCACAGGCCTGGCCATTCCTTAAATATACGTGCTGTAATCAGCCTCAGGTCAGAAGTGAGCCTCTGGTTGCTGAGAGCACCCGCTGGCCAGCCCTGGTACTGCAGCCCACAAGGCAGGTGAGTCCCCACCACCACTGGCAAGTCCATTTCTGACAGTACCCCCCCCCCCCTCAAGGAGCGGCCTAAGGACGCTCCAAACAGTCCGTGATGGCCCAAGTGTTCCACCGCCTGGGTCCGGCAACTGGCTGGACATCCCACTGCCGGAATCAAGCGATTGCTGGGTCTCCTGCTGATAGGCCTGTCTTTTTGTAGGAGACTGCAGGAAGGCAGATTGCTGGACACAGGATTTCCAGAAGCAGGCTGGGCATCAGGAGCTGGTACGTCAGGCTGGGCAGCAGGCAGAGGCATGTCGGACTGGGCAGCAGGCAGAGGCACGTTGGGCTGGGCAGCAGGCAGAGGCACGTCAGGCTGGGCAGCAGGCAGAGGCACGTCAGGTGGGACAGCAGGCAGAGGCACGTCAGGCAGGACAGCAGGCAGAGGCACGTCAGGCGGGGACAGCAGGCAAGGCAGCGGGCACCGGGCCATCAGCGCGGAGCAGCGGGAACCGGGCCATCAGGTGGAGCAGCAGGCAAGGCAGCGGGCACCGGGCCATTAGGCGGAGCAGCAGGTACCGGGCCATCAGGTGGAGCAGCGGGTACCGGGCCATCAGGCGGAGCAGCAGGCACCGGGACATCAGGTGGAGCAGCGGGTACCGGGCCATCAGGCGGAGCAGCGGGCACCGGGCCATCAGGTGGAGCAGCAGGCAAGGCAGCGGGCACCGGGCCATCAGGCGGAGCAGCGGGCACCGGGCCATCAGGTGGAGCAGCGGGTACCGGGCCATCAGGCGGAGCAGCGGGCACAGGCCATCAGGTGGTGCAGCAGGCAAGCAGCGGGCACCGGGCCATCAGGCGGAGCAGTGGGTACCGGGCCATCAGGCGGAGCAGCGGGCACTGGGCCATCAGCGGAGCAGCGGGTACCGGGCCATCAGGCAGAGCAGCGGGCACCGGGCCATCAGGCGGAGCAGCAGGCAAGGCAGCGGGCACCGGGCCATCAGGCGGAGCAGCAGGTACCGGGCCATCAGGCAGAGCAGCAGGTACCGGGCCATCAGGCGGAGCAGCAAGCACCGGGCCATCAGGGTGGAGCAGCAGGCAAGGCAGGGGTACCGGGCCATCAGGCGGAGCAGCGGGTACCGGGCCATCAGGCGGAGCAGCGGGCACCGGGCCATCTGGCAGAACCGCAGGCACTGGGTCACCAAGCTCAACAGCGGGCACTGAGTCATCTGGCAGGACAGTGGGTACCGAGTCATCTGGCAGAACCGCGGGCACTGGGTCACCAGGCAGAGCAGCAGGCACCGGGCCATCAAGCGGAGCAGCAGGCACCGGCCATCAGGTGGAGCAGCAGGCAAGGCAGCGGGTACCGGGCCATCAGGCGGAGCAGCGGGCACCGGGCCATCAGACGGTAGAGCAGCGGGCACCGAGTCATCTGGCACGACAGCGGGCTCCGGGTCAACTGACACGACAGCGGGCACCGAGTCAACTGGCAGGACAGTGGGCTCCGAGTCATCTGGCAAGACAGCGGGCCCAAGCCTTCTAGCAGAACCACGGGCCACCGGGTCACCAAGCTCGACAGCGGGCACCGAGTCATCTGGCACGACAGCGGGGTACCGAGTCATCTGGCAAGACCGTGGGCACCAAGTCATCTGGCAAGACAGCAGGCACCGAGTCATCTGGCAAGACAGCGGGCACAGAGTCATCTGGCTCGACAGCGGGGCATCGGGTCCCCAGGCACGACAGCGGGCACCGGGTCATTAGGCATCGGGTCATCTGGCTCGACAGTGGGCACCGGGTCATCTGGTTCGACAGCGGGCACCGAGTCATCAGGCATTGGATCGTCTGGCTCGACACCGGGCATCGGGGTCATCTGGCATCAGGTCATCTGGCTCGACAGCGGGTACCGGGTCAATCTGGTTCGACAGCAGGCATCGGGTCACCAGGCACGACAGCGGGCACCGGGTCATCGGGCATCAAGGTATCAGGCTGAACCACGGAAGGCGGGTTCTCAGACGGCAGGCTGACCGGTTTGGATACTGGCAGGATGGTATTGGTTGAAAAGAATTTTCACTTTTTCCTGGTTTTAGTTACTGAAGCGCAGGAAGTAAGCGCAGGTTTGTAAGTGGATAGAGCAGCTGTAGGCAGAGAAGAGCTGAGGGATGGAACAAAGGAGGGAGCAGTTGCTACAGAGGACTTCTTTACAGGGTTAAAGATAGGATATGTGCAGTGAGTGGGAGCAGGGGACTGATATGTGGTAGTTAGCAGAGTATACTGGGCTGTCACTGGGGGTGCTGTTGGGGATGCAGGGAAGAGTGCCTTGAGCAGAGGAATGACGTTGCAAGCTGACTGAGGCTGGGTGTAACAAGTCTGGCCATGTCTGCAGTATGGGTTGAACAAAGCTCAGCTTACACAAAGCCTGTCTGGTCAAAGACTGCACTGCGTTTATACAATCTCTTAGCACTGTTGTGAACATGAAGAATAATGCTCCAAGAAGTAATCCACATCATCCTCCAATAACCACACCAGGGACTCTACCTGGTCGGCACTAAATGGCGGCAAAAATTCATCCTTGCATTCGGGAATGGTACCAGATGAAAGCCAACTCTGCACAAACCTGAATCAATGGTTGCACCTCAGAGAACTCTGTGCTCTGATTTACTAGGCAATGAGCGATCCTTATGCATTCTAGTAGTTGATCCCGGGTATACTCCTTCAGAGTCTGATAAGCAAAATCTCTGTCATCAAAGACTAGCAGAGACAAATACACCACCTCATCAAGATGCATCCTTCCAGCAACAATAAGCCAAGATGGCTTCCCTGTGCAACCACTTCTGGTCAGGAATTGGCCTTGGTGTTCTGTTAGGGATCCGGGTATGACCAGAAAATGTGTGGACTGACAAAGGGAAACGCAGACTTCAGGTATAGTGTGAATAAGGCAATTTATTAAGACTAAACAAAACATAAACGCAGTGCAAGACTAAACAACAACACAGTGCAAACAAACCAACCCAAACCTCCAACAGATAACAATAGAAACAATACTAAGCGTAGTCGGGCGGGCCGGGTCGGTAGAAAACGGGCAGGCAGGGCACAAGGAGCAGGCGGAAGAGTAGTCAGGAATAGCCGAGGTCAGGACAGGCGGAGTTCATTCAGAGTCAGGGATCGCAGCAGAATCTGGATCAGGCAGAAAGTAGACAGGATGCAGGTACAGGGGCTCATGGGAAAACATACACCAAGGGCCCTGATCACAGGCCTGGCCATTCCTTAAATACACCTGCTGTAATCAGCATCAGGTGATGGCTCATTTCAGAAGTGAGCCTCTGGTTGCTGAGAGCACCTGCTGGCCAGCCCTGGTACTGCAGCCCACAAGGCAGGTGAGTCCCACCACCACTGGCAAGTCCATTCCTGACACCTGCTATCAAGCTATAGACACCCGCGCTTATTTGAGCCTGTACCTCTGTCACCATATTCAGTGGTGCTCGGACCAGAGCCGCAAGGGAAAACCTCTTGTCAACTTGGCCTTCAACCAAGGTACGTAACAGGGCTGTGGAATGTATTTATTTATTTATTTACAATTTATCTTTGCATACATACAGACACAGCACCCCACCTGATTTTATTTCGGTTTTGGGAAAAAAATATATTTTTTCAGACAATTTTAGCAGCGACAAATGCTCTTTCATCAGTTGGTGATAGGCCCACTTTGACCAGCTGATAGAATCGGTTAGAAGTTTGCTAAGCCTGACCTGTTCTTGCTGATGCAAAAAACTGTCCTACCACTGGCCAATTTCCTTTAAACTCTCGTTAAAAAAAAGGAGACCACAAAAAACACAACTATATAAAAACTGACCAGCAACAGGAAAATATTTCATAAGGGAATTAGAGATGAGCGAATCGAACATGACGAAGTGGAATTCGTTCCGAAGATTTGGAAAAATTCTATTCTCGACGAATCCGAAGATTAGCAAACTTCGGATGCACGAATCGAATTTTCCCAAAAATGGCGGCGACATGTGTGGCGACGGAGAGAAAATGGACAGAGAAGATGGGGGGGGATCTCTGGGAAGGCGCGCAGACAAGGCGCGCTGACCCATAATGCATTCATGACATGTGATCGCATTAGCCATCAGCAGCCAGCCAGCACTGTGTAATGGTGGAGTGGAGCTATAAATCGCGGCCATCTTAGAATTCTCCATTAGCCTCCGGCCGTCATTCAAGAGAGACAGACCTGTGTGTATTAAGGGACAGAGTTAGGGCCACAGAGACTTTAGGGCCACAGAATCGTTACTCAGGGCCACAGAATCGTTACTCAGGGACACAGAATCGTTACTCAGGGACACAGAATCGTTACTCAGGGACACAGAATCGTTACTTAGGGCCACAGCTATCAAAGAATCGAAAAATTTAAAGTGACGTACACCCTTTTTTTTTTGGTGGCTGTCGGCACAGTTGGTGCTGCAGTTTGCCGATTGTGCAAAATAAACTGACTTTCTGCTTCACAACCACTATTGTACGTTCAAAGAGTTAAATCCATTTACACGCCGGCTGGCGGTAATATTTTTTGGGTGATTAGTGCATTCCAGTGACACAAACGTACAGTTTCCAGCCAACGGCAAGCTGCAATTGACCGATTGTGTACAATAAACTGACTTTCTGCTTCACAACCACTATTGTACGTTCAAAGAGTTAGATCCATTTACACGCCGGGGGTGGCGGTAATATTTTTTGGGTGATTAGTGCATTCCAGTGACATAAACGTACAGTTTCCAGCCAACGGCAAGCTGCAATTGGACCGATTGTGCTAAATAAACTGACTTTCTGCTTCACAACCACTATTGTACGTTCAAAGAGTTAAATCCATTTACACGCCGGGTGGCGGTAATATTTTTTGGGTGATTAGTGCATTCCAGTGACAGAAACGTACAGTTTCAGCCAACGGCAAGCTGCAATTGACCGACTGTGTGCAATAAACTGACTTTCTGCTTCACAACCACTATTGTACGTTCAAAGAGTTAAATCCATTTACACGCCGACTGGCGGTAATATTTTTTTGGGTGATTAGTGCATTCAGTGACACAAACGTACAGTTTCCAGCCAACGGCAAGCTGCAATTGACCGATTGTGTACAATAAACTGACTTTCTGCTTCACAACCACTATTGTACGTTCAAAGAGTTAAATCCATATACACGCCGGGTGGCGGTAATATTTTTTGGGTGATTAGTGCATTCCAGTGACATAAACGTACAGTTTACAGCCAACGGCAAGCTGCAATTGACCGACTGTGCTAAATAAACTGACTTTCTGCTTCACAAACACTATTGTACGTTCAAAGAGTTAAATCCGGTTTTATTTTTGGGGTGCTTATTGAATTAAAGAGTATGTCAGACAACACGCAGAGGGAGTGGCAGAGGAGGCAATGTTTCAGGAGCGAGCAGACGTGGCAGCAGAGGAAGGGGTCGAGGCAGCACTAGTCGCAGCCAGAGGCCAGTGCTCCCGGGTGTCATCCAGCGGTCGTGTCTCCACCGACAAACCCTGCCGTCATCGATTGGTTGACTCGGTCATCTTCCTCTTCCCAGGTCACCTCTGACACCTACAGCCAACGGTCGGTGGGTACGTCAGACACAACCGTTAGTTTGGCATGGCCCGGGAGCAAGCCCACTGAAATCACGTGTCCTCGACCTGCCCCTGTCCTTTGGTGTTCCCTCACCAAGCGAAGTATCGCATGCTGTGGGCTCAGCCCTACTGTACAGTGAGGAAGAGCTAACAGAGGGCGGTCAGGAACGGGGGGAGACATCCGCCTCTTCAGCAGCCAGGCGAAGAAGTACTGGCGAGGAGAGTGGCTCGGTAGCCGGTCTAGAGACAGGTCTGTCTCCTGACCCACACGCAGCCGAGGGGGCTAGTAGTGACGCGGAGACCCTAATTGATGATGATGAGGCTGATCGCACTTGGCAGCCTCGTCGTCATCAGGCTATTGGCTATTGCTTCCGCATCAGGGTCGCAGCAGTGTCAGTGGAGCCAAACGGCCACGGAGTAGAGCACCAGCTCCACTGCAGCCTACCACCACGGCCAGTAGTGGTGCCGTGTGTGCACGGAGGAAGTAGCAGTCAGCCAGTGAGGAGTAGGGGGGCAAAGTTTCCTACTCGGCGGTGTGGCAATTTTTCGTCAAGCCGCGCCCGAGGAAGTAAACGTAGCCGTATGTCGACTATGTGGCCAGAAAGTCAAGCGTGGCCAGGGGGCCAAT